ATTAGCCTTTTCTTTTATGGACTTATATTGCTTTATGTTGCCACATTATGTTTTTTATTTATTTTTTATTTTTTTATTCCCACTTTTATTTTATTATTCTTTTATTGATTTATTTTTGTAATTTGGTGCGCTCACTGCTCCATAAAAACGGCCACAAAGAGACTCGAAATAATACAGACATGCAAAAAAAACCCAGAAAAAACTGACTTTATAAGTCCTGTTTTTTTTCTGAATGAGCTGTTTTAGTGTCAGTAGCTTTAAATGCATTACTTATATTTTAAATGCTTCACTTCCATTTATCAAATCTGCTTCTTTGAGGGCCTGTTTTTTTGCATTAATGTTTAAGTATTAATAATATAAAACACTGTAAAGCCTAACCATGCAATAAACCAGAAAAAACACTTACCTCACAAATTCAAAAGCCAGTGTCATGTATGTTAACCAGTAATTTACATATTAGAGATTAAATCCTAATAAAGTTATATGAAATACTACTTTAACGGACTATAACTCAAATTAAGGCTGAGCTCCTGCACTCAATTAGGGAGATTCATCCAACTAACGTAATAACAAAAATAAGACTCTACAGGGTTAGAAATGACAGAATTTAACTCAGCTATTATAAATACTATAACCAAAGCAGCACCGTTCAATAACTGTTTACTACAAATCTACAGTAATAAAGATCAAAGTGAGGCGTCGCCACATAACATCACATGAAGGCTCCAAAGGGCCACATTTCTAAACGCATGAGGTCCTTAAAGAACCGCATCAGGTGTTGCATGTGTGCATGAAGCCTCAACAGGTGTCAGAGGAGCTCCAGGTACCTGCAGGGCGCTGTTCAGGAAGCAGCTGTTCTGCCCCGGCTCGTTGCTCAGCCCTTTGCTGGGAGCGATGGACGTCATGGTGCGAGGCGTCAGGATCCCCTGCATCCCACCTCCTCCACCTCCTCCACCTCCACCTCCACTTCCCCCGCTGCCACCGACACCGCTTCCACTGCCACCGCCGCCGCCACCCGACGCAAAGTAGTTCCTCTTCCACGACATATCCCTCCCTCTCGGTTCGTCTCTCGATCAACTTCCTGTCATCCGTTGTCGTATCCACGGAGACAGATCCATTTCCTCCGGCCGAGAGGAGGACGGAGATTTAAAAAAAGACAGACGGAGCGACTCTGAGTTCCAAAAGTCCGACAATAAGAATAAAACCAGAAATTACTTATTTAATAATAAAATCCAGAGTGTGGGAGTTTTGTGTCCCAGGTTTGTGCCTCCAAACAGATCCTTAATCAGTTTTACATTCCACAGATCTTTTATTTTACATTCCACTGCGTCTGTGTTCGAGGGTCCTTCAGCTCGACATTCCACCAAACGACGGGCCGCTGGTTCTGATTTGTTCGCTGTTCCTGATGCTGAGAATTCCAAGAATTCCCAAAGTCCTCCGCCGTGTAATCCAAGACTTTCAGGGACTCATCCTTGACCACCTTTGCCTTCCTCTTCAACACAGGCGTGACGACACCGAGTCCTCGCCTTCGTCCCGACCGGCAGCCGAGGGTCCGACACGAACACGGGTCAGAGGTCAGAGGTCAGCGGGACGGATCTGCACGGGAAGAAGGACGAAGAGGTTTCAGCTTCAACATCCAACAACTCGTGCATCACATTAGACTAAAAAATCAGAATAACACAGAATGTAAGAGGACAAGATGGAATACGAGGAAGAAGCAGAGACATTTGTAGGATCTGGAACTAATNAGACACAAAATGACCACAAACAGACACACAACATCCACCTTGCTCCTCTCCTACACACCTGCAGTAATGTAACAGACATGAGTTCCTTTGGTTTAAATCTGAAGTTTCTGTGCAAACACTTGTGATGCTGTCAGACAAACTAGTGTCTGAAGAATGAATGAAAACAAGACACCGAAGCAAAGAGCAAGAGGCTCAGACTCGACTAAACGTCCTAACAGCCGAGCTGAAGCCGCTCAGCTAAGCTTTGTTCACGCTCTCTCCATCACCTGGGAGACGTCTACCTGATGACAGTTCATTATCCTGGCCGACCTCTGACCTCCGCCATGCTGCTGAGTCTCCGTGTCTGTGAGCTTCAGCGGTTTCATGACTCAGCCTGCGTTTAAACCAACAACACCAGTAATTACTGCTCCGGCAGCGCCTCGGATCAGACAGCACACCAGCCCCCGCCCAGAAGCAGCACAAGAAAAGCTGATGAGTCATGAGCCAGTCTGGGAGGTGATGCCGAGCTGCACGCGCTCATTACAGACGGGCTGTTATGTGAGCGGATGGAGTCGTGCTGCTCGCCTGCTGCAGCGTCGCCCGCCTGGCTCAAAGGCACTGCGGTGAGACGGCAGCTCGGAGAGCCGAGAGAGGCTCCGGGCTGCAACAGCTCAGAGCTGCAACCAGGACCGACTGTGATCACTGCTGAGTCATCTGTTGGTTCATTATAGTTTACATTTGAATTTCAAAATGACCATAAAATCTGTGCAGTAG